TAGATAACAGAATATCCATATTTTTATGCCAGCACCGAAGTACTGGCTACTGGACTGGACTTACAGTCTTGAATGTCTCTGTTAACTTTATTCACAACTTTTTTGTAGAATCAAGACGATTTAGAGCTTGAAATATTGTGAATCATATGTTGTCTTTTGGTTTCTAAGTCGTTCGGGGGTTGCTGTCTCAGTCATGCATACCCCATATCTCCTTTTATTCAAGGGGCTTCGGTGGCCGAGTTGTCTAAGTATTCGAACTACTGTATCACTTGCCTGTTAACACTGAGGTTGTGACAGGTGCACGTGACTCCAATCTTCATTGACTAGCATTGTCAGTTTTCCTACCGAACGTCGGTGGTTCTCTCCAGGCATTCATCCTCCACCAATAAAAACTGACCGACACGAAATAGCACAATAGTGCTGAAAGTGGCGTTATGCACCAATCAATCAATCATTCAATCATTATACTCATAGGTTTTGAAATGTAAAATATGTATAAAAAAGTAAACTCTCTTTTATAAGTTACTGGCTGCATGGGGTTGGTGAATGAATTATGCTATGCAGCTTTATGTGCATGGCCGGTTGTCCTCTAGCCTGCTCCCCCGCCACTAACACTAACCGAAATGATTTCATACTGACGTGTAGGAAGTCGAAATAACAAATAACATTACTTGTAAAAAGGCCTACATCTCTTACTTTTATAATGCTATGTTTTTTTTTCCTGTTAACTCTTATATTTCGGAAAATTATAGCTGATTCCCAAATGACTGTCCGTTAAATATAGCACTATTAAACTCGGATAAAAAAATCTTTAAACATGTTTTTGAGTTAATTACTGGGTCGGAAAGATTCCTTTGTAACAAGATAGTAAATCATGAACACAAACACATCGTCATCTGAATTAACATTTGCTTTTTGGGGGTCTATATAAATATAAGAAGATGTGGTATTATTGACAAAGTTCAAATGAAGCTGTAAGCAATTATAGGTAACTGTACGGCCTTCAACAATGAGAAAAAAACATACCGTATATATAGTCTGCTATAAAAGGCCCCGACATGAAAAATGTGAAATTATTCAATTGAGAAAACTAACTAGGGTTTTTTCTGTCTTGTAAAATTGATTTTCTTTCCGATTTATAAAAATGTAGAAATACAATTCAATCTATGCATGTGATATTTTATAGTGTGTCTTTCAGTGTTGTGATGTTACACTATTGTTTCAGGTAGGGTGAAGGTTGGCGCCTATTAAAACGATTAAACCCCGATGCATTTGTTTGCAACTGTCCTAAGTCAGGAACCTGATGTTCAGTGGTTGCCGTTTGTTGATGTGGTTCATAAGTGTTTCTCGTTTCTCGTTTTTTATATAGATGTAAATATATTTCCTTTCTCTATTGGTACTGTACAGGTATACCTAACAACAAAATTATTTTCATTTACCTGTGTTTAAAGTTATTGCAAATGGATGGTATTTTTGTTCGAGCATATTGTTTTTCTTTAATTGTTTAACATTTCTTACCGATATAACATGTTACTTTTATTATTTTTCCCTTAGTTTATTTATTTTGTATTTACATTGTGTCATAGGTCAAATTTATTTGTTCAGTGTATGTTCAATGGTGTTAATATGTCCTTTGATTGAGTTAAGATATTTCAGTTGATATTTAATAGTGTGTCTTTCTATGTTGTGATGTTACACTATTGTTTCAGAAAAAGGGTGAAGGTTTGGTACCATTAAAACGTTTAAACCCGCTGCATTTGTTTGCACCTGTCCTAAGTCAGGAATCTGATGTTCAGTAGTTGTCGTTTGTTGATGTGGTTCATAAGTGTTTCTCGTTTCTCGTTTTTTATATAGATTAGACCGTTGGTTTTCCCGTTTGAATGGTTTTACACTAGTAATTTTTTGGGGCCCTTTATAGCTTACTGTTCGGTGTGAGCCAAGGCTCCGTGTTGAAGACCGTACTGTGACCTATAATGGTTTACTTTTATAAATTTTGATTTGGATGGAGAGTTGTCTCATTGGCACTCATACCACATCTTCTTATATCTATAGACCGTTGGTTTTCCTGTTTGAATGGTTTTACACTAGTCATTTGAGGGGGGGGTGCTTTATAGCTTGCTGTTCGGTGTGAGCCAAGGCTCCGTGTTGAAGGCCGTACTTTGACCTATAATGGTTTACTTTTACAAATTGTGACTTGGATGGAGAGTTGTCTCATTGGCACTCATACCACATCTTCTTTTATCTATGTACTCATATATTGTATGGTTACAGTGTAAATATGTTAAATGGAGAAGAATTCTTAAGTTTTTTTTTACTTGTGTCTAAACCAATACGTCTTTGAGAATATACAATATGTTTGAACTAATTGAAAAACAATCAAGAATGAAAAATCCCCCTTCCAGACAGGAGTCAATGACACATGGAAGAATGATCTTCCTCACAAATTGAGAACCCTTACTTTCATCTAAGTTTCCACTAGCTTATCTTAAAAGCTTTTTAGAAATAAATGGGAAATCAAGGACAGTATTAATCAATTCTATTGGGACATAGTAAAAATGAAATTGACATTGAATTTCTTTTTAAATTTAAAAAAAATGACGTTTAAAATTCGACTTAAACTCGAAATTTTAACTTTTCAATACTTGAAATTTTGACTTTAACTTGAAATTTTGACTTTTAAAATCTTGAAATTTTGACATTTTTAAACTAAAAATTTTGACTTTTTTAAGCTTAAAATTTTGACTTTTCTCGATAGTCACATCCACAGTCATTTCTGACATGTATGCTATCAAATGGAGATACGATGTACAATAAACAAGACAATTTTTACTCTATATTTTAACAACTTAAATATAGATTTGAAGAGGTTACTTTAGACAGAAATCTTTGTTTGCGATTGAACAGATTAAATATATCTAACGTGTAACTATATCGACTTCAAGTCTGGATTTCAGATATGAAAATGAAGCCCCGATATGCCGACACACCTATATTTCGCCATACCTTTATTCAACAGTCAATTTTATTAGAATAACAACTTTATGTGTTTAATGAGTTGGGAGGAAGAGAAGTCAAGACATTAATATGAAGATATGTAATGAATACAATTTAAAACGGACATTTTTTTCATAGTTTGTTCTTATTTTGTGCTGATACACCACTGTCCCATGTTAGGGGAGGGTTAGGCGCCCGCAAACAGGTTTAACCCCACCGCATTCTGTATGTCCCTGTCCCAAGTCAGGAGCCTAGTATTCAATGTTTGTCGTTTGTTGTTATATGTCATATTTGTTTTTCGTTTATTGCTTTGTACATAAATCAGGCCGTTATTTTTCTCGTTTGAATTGTTTTACATTTCGGGGCTTTTTTATGGCTTGCTATCCGGTATAGGTTTTGCTCATTGTCGAAGGCCTTACGATGACCTATAGATTTAGTTGCTAACTTCTACGTTGTTTGATCTCTGGTGATGAGTTGTCTCATTGGCAATCATACCACATCTTCTTATTTTTGTGTTAACCAAATTGCATTCTAAACAAATACATGGAAAGTTAAAACTTAGAGTTAAAGTCGAAATTTTAAGATTTTAAATGTAAAAATTTTGACTTTGAAGAAAAGTTCAATGTCAATTTATTTTTACTATGACCGTATTACGCTTATGTACAATCCTCAGCAGAGGAAAACAAATCATTAGAAAACAAGAATGTGTCCATAGTACACGGATGCCCCACTCGCACTATCATTTTCTATTATTTGTATTGCGTGATCGCGCAAATACGCAGCTTATCTGGAGCTCTGACTACCCTGACCAAAAACTTAAACCTGCAGCGGGACAGACGGACGGACGGACGGACGACCGGGCGAACGAACGGACGCACAGACCGAAAAACATAACGACCCTAGGTGGGGCATAAAAACGAAAACCAACTTAACGATGGCAATAAAACATATATAAACAAACAACTTTAAACATTAAAACTTTGGTAATTAATGAACCTCCATTTACAGTTAAAAGTGATAAAAGTAAACATGACTTTTATGATGAAAGTTGATATTTCATAAAACTGATGTATCTTTGGTTTTTTAGATGAAATGCTTTGTACACAATATAATACTTCCATGGTCTGAGAAATAAATAGCTGTAGTCTTATAATAACATTAACGGTACCAATTTTACTACACCAGATGCGCATTTCGACGAACAATTTATCTTTATAACTGCTGTTTTACTGGCAAATTGAATGTGGATTTCTCAAAGTTTCGTGTGATTCGAACAATCAAAGATGACATTTTTTAAAGGACCTCGCGCATTTTTGCAAAAAATAAAGCAATTAAAATGTTTATATCTATTCAAAATTGTATAAACGAATTGTACAAAATAATATGGATTAGAAAGATAATTTTAAGTAATTGTTCGTCAAAATTGCGCCTTTTTTGGTGCAGTCAGATAACTATTGTTATTACTATATACAATGGAAAAGAAGGATTATGAGCCATGTTTTATAACAAAATCGCTACACGAATGTGGCAAAATCTAAAGCAAAAGAACAAAAAAAGAAGCTTTTGTTAAGGTGCGACTTCTGAAAGTCAGAGTTATGTCTTAAACTTGCAGCAAAAGCTTGCACCTCACTACAAGTTGAAGACCGTCCCTAGCATCGGTCATAGAGTGGAAATCTTTGCTAGATGTCGAAAACACTGTGTCTGTGCATAGGTTCGCGGATGAGGGGTAATGTCAACATATCATAGACTATATAATTTATTTGACTATGAATATAACATACTATATAGCTCATTAGTAGATTTATATATTTTCAGCAATTTTTTTTTTTAATTATTGAGATTTGCAAAAGATTGTGTGCTATAAAAAGAACAAAAATACCAGATATATAAAGACTTTCTATAAAAACTGTCCGTTTTCCATTAAAATGTCAAAATGTTTTTTGTGTGTTGTAATTTTTGCCTGTCACTCACTTTCACGCTTCAATGGGCCATATAAAATGAGTGTTGTTGTTCCTAACAGTCATTCGGGTCTACGGGCGGCTTATACTATCATTCCGGCAAAAATATCACAATGAGGACAAAAATTATATTTCTATTGGCTGTTTTAATTGGATGTACATGTAAGTCAAATTTCAAGATTTTTTTTCTCTATCTATCTTTTAAAACATGTATGTTTGAAAAAAAATAACTTTAAAAAAACAAGGTACAAAAAACTTGATCGAAAGAAGGGTTTGTATTGTAACTGGACTGTATAATGTATGTATGTACCAAACTGGTTTTGTTTGAAATGATAACATTCTTTTTGATGGACCTTTCTGTGAAAATGGTAATATGTGACATAAGAACATGTTTCTCTCTCTCTCTCTCTCTCTATATATATATAATATGCTTATGTTTCACATATATATAATTAAGCAAAACTATATTAATATAAATATTAATGCTTATGTCAACTTTGCCAGATGGATTATTACTCAATTGACAAAAAAAGGTTTCTTTCCTATCAAATCGTGTACCGTCGGTGATGAGAAGCATTCTTTTGACCCGCAGGTTCAGTAAAGTACCTAATTTATTTAAGAATTGAATGCATGCTTCTTTGTAGAATTGCTTCATATTAAAAATGTGCGCACGATCAACACTTTCACAATCCTATAAAATTACATAACAGAAGCATTTAATTTTCATAAATACATATTATGCTGTAACCATGAAATTAAGAGTAAAATCAAGCTTTTCGTTTAGTGTCATATATGCATTGTTTAAATGTTTCCATAGAAAGCACGTGCAGTCAAGGATGTTTCATTTATCATTGGTGTTTATTGGTAAATTAACCAAAATTTTGGAATGTCTCGAGATTGTTGTCGTCGGCCACTCAAAATTGCAGAATCTTGTGAACCATACCTGTAATGTAATTATTATTTATTACAGATGCACAGATGAATCCAATGGCATTAATGATGATGAAAGGAGGAGGTGGATTTTTTGGCAAATTTTTGAATAATCCGTATACTTTATGTAAAATGACAGAAAATGTCAAAGCTGTTCCATGTAGTGTGATGCCACAAATGTGTATGATTCAATCAATGAAAACCTATAAATTACCCAATCTCATGAAGTGTAGTCCAATGGGGGTTGGCTGTTGCTTAAAAGACGCACGATCGCTAGCTTTAGCCAAAGTTTTCAGTCGTCGTTAAGCTACAGGGTAAGTTTTGAAATTTATCAAAGTAGTATAGTTCTCTGATATTTTTCTTATTTCAATCGGACCCGGTTTTGTATGTCCTCTTGCGGACAAAATTTTGTGAGTTTAATTCTTATAATCTTATATATAAATAAGAAGATGTGGTATGAGTGCCAATGAGACAACTATCCATCCAAGTCACAATGTTTCAAAAGTAAACAATTATAGGTCAAAGTACGGCCTTCAACACGGAGCTTTGGCTCACACAGAACAGCAAGCTATAAAGGACCCCAAAAGACTAGTGTAAAACAATTCAAACAATTATATAGTATGTTATTCATATACCTTTATTTCATTAGCATTTTTTGCTAAAATCTGCTTATGCCGCCCTGCCTATCAAACCGTGTGACAAAATGAATCGTCAGATTATTCGACATAAGATCATGTAAAAAGTTTTAAAACTTTAAACGAATTGAAAATTTGTCAAGTTACTTAGGGTGACGACATTTGAAATTCTGGAGGGGGAGGGGGGTAGCTACAAGAGGACTTTTTTTTGACGAAATATTAATTTTCACCTTTTGCAAGTCTCGATAATTGTTTTGTATATCACATTTATTTCCTGTATTTTGCTAAGAAATCCTGTTTTGGGTACAATCCTCCTGACCCCAGCATATCAATTGATCGTCAAAAAAATAGATGTCATAAGTGAAACAGATTCACTCACAGTTTTGTTTTACTGAGATGATGGTTGATACATTGTATATTGTTTAAATTTGAAAATTGAGTAAAGTGTGACGTCATTACCTGCTGCTGACAGCAACATTAGAATGTAAAGTACCAAATATTTGCCCAGTTCCCGACAATGCTTTCTTTAGAAAACATCTTCTTAAATAGTGTTTATTTGTAGAAATAAATTTCGGGATTTTTCCGCCCTTTAGGTCCCGGGGCTTTTCTTGGTGATTTTTTTTTACCATTATACCTTGCGATTGCATGAAACCGAACTCATAATACATCACAGGAGAAATATATTTGAATGAAATAACAACCAATCACAGATAGTCTCTATGTCAGATATGTTCCTTTCAAATGCAAAGGGTTGCGCCTATGTAAAGTTATTTGGTACATTGAAACTAACACGGTTTATCTTTTAACAATGTGTAGATTGTGTAATATAGGAGTTTTAGCTATATTTTTTTTGTCAGTTCAATGTTTATTGAAGCACTCATGGAAGTTTAAATGAATCGTCATGTATGATCATGTATGATTAACAAAATAGAAAAAAAGACAATTTACAACTAACAGTCATTAGTGTTTGGCGAAAGTAGTCACTTTATTATTAATGTAGTAATTATATTTCAAATAACAAATATATCAGAGCGATATATAGCAGTTTGTTAACTCGAGAAAAAACATTGTCAACTAAGACGGAGCCGAGGTTGACAATGTTTTTTTTTCGAGGGGTAACAATATGCTCTATCACCCTCTTAACTATTTATGTGTTATCTAATCTATTGCACTGAATGTTCTGTTATTATTATCTTTTAATCTTTTTTTTTTTGTTTTGCCAGTTTTTTATTTGTTAGTGTGAAAGGGTAAAAATAAAAAAAAAACATGAATATAAAAATAGAAGCATCTGAACCCAAAACGAATAAACAGAAAACAAATTGACTACATTTTTGTATCTTATAAACTCAGTCATAAGTCTCTTTCAGTTAAGAATCTGGAACACGAATTGTCATGTCAATAGAGTTATACGCCATGCCGAGAAATGTCAAAACTTTTGATGGCGAAAAATTTGTTTCCTTACTGACGTCCAACGAGGCAACCCCACTCCCCCTTCCAACAAAAAATAGGATCATATAGTCATAATCTGCATTTTGAATATCCCGTACAACGCCAAAATCAGCTACATACTAGTAATTAATCGTATGCATGTTAGATATCCATAACTAACAGGCTTGAGGTTGAAAACACATAGGAAAATAAGGCGGTTGTCAATAGAAATACGTCCCCTCCTTTCATACTCGTAAGTCATACGGGTCTAAAACAAGTTTTAGGAAGGTTGGAAAAAGATACAGATAAATAATTTCATTTAAAAGGCATCCTGTCTAATATCCTCATTAATAGATAATAATTATCATTTAGAACTCTCCTTTTAAGACATTGAAAAATGGGATAAAGTCAAAAAACAACATATCTCTAGGATTCTTTCTGAATGGATCGTAAATAGCTCCAATGTCCAATTCTTTGAAAATGTGGGAATCAATAAAAAAAAAACTCGGTAAGGGGGAGGAGTCTGGCAAAGCATCTTTAATATGTTTAACGACCATCCGTACTTAAAAAAATCAACTACTATATTTTCATGATAATCTTTAAACAGCTTTTCCTAGAATGAAATATTATCATCAGATCGTACTGGAAAAAATCGGTTTGCTGTTGTCAAAAAAACGGAACACGTCAAAAATAATTTCTTATTTATTTCATCTGAACGAAATTTTTGCATATTATTCACGGTCACCCATTAGATCCTGCTGTTTTTGTAAGCACAGAAAATACGTGTTAATATTTATATAGTTCTTACCTTTTATAACAATGCTGGTATATCAGTAAACACCCCTGTCTCATTTGCTTTTGTATTTGAGATTTCTAACAATGTTTCGGAACTAAGCAAATAAAAAAAAACGCCTGCATTTACAGGAGCTAGGCATTATTTCTTTTTTAATTATACGCACCTTAACAATTAGGGAAGCAAGCATACGTGCTACAGCAGTTAGGTTCCTATCGCCATTGAAAAAAGAGGGTATGTTGGATGAAAGCAATCATTTTCCTTTGCAGTATGCCCACTAAAGACCCTTTGTTATTGCGAAGGTCATTTAAGGAGGAACACTCCCTACACGAGGCGTCGCATTTAACCCCCCATTTTAATTTTCACGAAGGAAAAATATCTTTGAAATTTGTTGTACACGTTTATTCTTACATGTGTATCATAATAATACGGACAACTAAAAAAATTTATGCTTACATGTGTATCATAATAATACGGACAACTAAAAAAGTTTAAAGTTGCTTTCTGTAAAGCCAATATCAAAACTTTTACTTCGTATAAATAGAAATATGCATGTAGGATCTTTAAAAGATAATCTTTCCGCTCTTAACGATTGAATCGCCGAAAAATGACGATGCAACAAATATGTCTGTGATTTTATTTTACTTTTTTACTATGTACACTGATATTGAATTTATATACCCCTTTCAAATGTTCGTGTTTTCATCGTTCCTGGTGAAGGTAAATCAAGAAAAGCGATTCGGATTCAGAAAAAATAAGTGCTATTTCGTATACTGCTTTTATTTAAAATTTGTAAATCATAAGAGAATTGATAGACCTCTTATAATAATCCAATACGTATAGTTTCATTTGAAAAAGGGATATTTTCAGTTTTGCAGATTTTTGCCATTTTATATATTTTTGTTTTTGTTTATTCTAAATTTCTTCTCAACCATTCCGTCAAACTATTGTAATGAATGTTAAACTGATTTAAAACATGTTTATGTAGGGAGGGTTGAATAATGTACATCATACGCGTAAATGACATTAAGATCAATATATATTTTTGTCTTCCTAGTTATAGACTTTAAAAGTAACCGAATTATTATTTTATGTTGTGTTGTATGCAAATTTGAAATCAGTATATATGAGGTCATATATTTATTACCCCGTAGTTGTTTTTTTTTTTAATATGTTTTCTTTCTTTTTTCACAAACAGAACTCATTAGTGTCGTTTATTAAGATTATAAGAATTCAATATGAAAATGTAAAATGAAAAATTGGTGAATTTTTATAAAGAATGTCGCCTTGCACGGCCGGTATGCGTGATCATCTGAACTCTATATTTAAAACAACTGGAATGCATCTCGAGTTTATTTCACTCAGGTTTTTTTTATTCTGACTGATTTTTTTTTCTTGCAGGAAACTGGAAGTGGAATGATGTCATCATGGTTAGCCGCCTGTAAAACAGCCATAAACTGTCCATCACATGAACTATAATCATCGTTTTATTGTATTGTTCTTGAGAAAGAGACCCGAAAATCAACATAAAATAAGAATGTCCGAAAATAAAATGTCAAAAATCGTTTTATTATATGTGCTTGACAGACTTTACAACAATATGACGAATTTTATTGAAAATCGTAGTAATAAAAATCACGTTTTTCCTGAAGAAAATTGATAGTTGCAGATTACTTCTGGTGTCAAAGCTAATTTATTTCTCACACTAAACAGCACTATAAGTCAATGATTGGCACATTTTCATTGTGATATTAGTAGCAGTGGCCGAAAAATAAATTCGTCAAAGATGCCTGACTTATAATTCAGTACACATTAACTTTACATAGTACTCGGAGTATTTTGATTGGTTGAATTCTAAGTCTGAGTACGATAGCCTTGCTCCTTATTTGCATGACAAGACGGGCGTTTCGTCAACACAAGTGACGATCGAATCAAAACAGTTAAAAGCCCAAATGAAAAACAAAATTGAAGAGCATTGAAATAAAAAAGTTCCAAAAAATTGTGTCAAATCGGGCTAAGGCCATCTATTCCTAGTGGTAGTAAAAACTTAAACACCAGTAGTGAAGTGTTAGTCCCCGAGGGAATTATCCGGTTTCAATGTATTAGGTCATCTATAACTTTGGGACACATATTTTGATAAAGTATTATACATTTACTTAAAGCAGGGAGCTTAGTCAACGAATTTGTTCGATTTGGGTTAACGAAATAATGCACGGCTGTATTTTATATCATTTGCAAGAGAAGAACAAGCATCACCGAAATATCGATGCAGTGGTCACGTTTTTCTTAAATTTGGGTCAAAGGTCATAGCTAAAATTTCAGGAAAACGCAGAGTCACAATTAGACAGCTTGTCGCCCCTACACACACGCGTTAAGATTATCAATATATTGTTACATTTAGGACTTTTCGATATTTCTGTTGCCATATATGATTCGACATTGACATTTGTACTTATAGGGTGCAAATTTATAATTTTCTTTCAGCTGATATAAAATAACCATGACCCATAACAGTTTCAAAATTTGGAATTTTTATGTTAGATTCGATACAAGTGAACTCGAGTGATGCTGTTTTAGATATTGACATTTATAATTTGTAAAAAAAATGTTGTTTTTCCCGTTTTTTTTTTATAGAAGGTGCTAGTCAATTTCTGGGTTTATATCTAATTTTCTTTTGGTGAGAGTGAAAGCACATACAATTGTGCATTGTTCCAAAACGTGTGTAATATTAACGCAGAATGGATATCTTTGCTTTACAGAAATAAGAATTCACGGTACTACAAACGGTGAAAAGAAGGGGGTTAAAGTTATATATGCATACAAAATGTCAATTAGGAACAGGTTAATCACGCCATCCTACACATTTGTATGATTTCTTGAACTGAAATTGGCTATAAAATTGGTATGTAGTACTAACTATCTACAGGGAGAGGGTTCTGTGCAGCATCGATATATTTTACAAACACTTGCAGACAAAATAGAATAATGGTCAAAGATAGTATAAGCTATTACGTTTATTGCCTCCTGCTAATTTGAAGGCGCACCAACCACGTCTAGGTCAGAGACCACGTGGCAGTTTTTTTGTCTCGCCTGTGACGCAAGTCGCAGGATGCGAGACATAGATATTACAATCCGACGGCGACGGCGTAGACTATTTGTATATAAAAAATTATAATTTATAAGTCAGGAGTTAAAGGACATGGATACTTCATACCTTGACACAAATGCATGTCTGTGTGGCAGAGTTCATCTGACCGTGATTTCATTTACATTGATCATTTATAATCTAATCTAACTTATCTTTAAACCCCCTTTGTAGAGGAACCATATTTTCATATGTAGAACAGGTGCTCTCTTTATATACAGTGCTGCTTCTCCTTCCACCATTGGACATCTAACCATATGTACATGCTCAGCTCGCGTGCAATCTATATACAGTGCTGTTACTCCCTCCACCATTCGATATCTGATGTGCGCATATTTACACTGAAGTCCTACCCCCACACAATTTGCGTAAAATCCTTTATTTTACAGTTTAGTTCGCTTGATTCCAGAAATTTGTGTGGTTCCCCCAACCACGCCCTTATAGATGTTGAGATAACGGAATCGCTTATTTTATTGTCACCTCGCACTAGATTTATTACTATCCGCATACCATCTTGTAAGGGCTATATGAAGTTGATATAGCAGGCGTCGAGTAAGGCGTTCTATTTGTACTACACTGACTGGATAGAGTTTCTTTGCTTTCGCTACCGGCGTTAAATCCAGAATATGTTGTAGTTTTTCGTTCGTTGATAGTTCATCAAATTGAATTCCCATTGCGTTCAGCGTTGTAGTTATTTCGTGAAGTATGGTGTTCCTCGCTATTCTCAAGCTTTCACATTTCAAAATAAAGTGTTCTATATTTTCTTCTTCCTTTGCACATAACAGACATTTCGGATCAGTCTCATCTTTGTACATTCTGATCCTTTTGCTCTGAAGGATATACGAGCCTGTAAGCAGCTTTAATTTTACTGGCAATCTTGCTGTATCAATAGTAGAGTGGCAGTTGATTTTGAGTAGAGGGTGTATATTTCCGGTTCTCAAATTTTCAGTTGTTAAGAAATTGAGCCCTTTATATAATGGCTGTAACTGAACTATTGATCTATTCCAGTGATTGTATATTGTCTTCTTGACAGTTGAGGTCCATACGGTCTTCTTAACTGGGTTGTTCAAATACCAGCTTGCCTCCTGCAGGTCATACTTTCGTAGCATATGCTTAATAGCAATGAACCAGCTAGAACTTCCATCGTTTTTTATAAGAAGTTGGCGTTTTGCAAGTGATTTTTCTACACTGTCGTCAGGCTGGTTGCAGATGTTGTTAAATAGGCCTAATGCTCGGATGTGTACTTGTGCCTCAATAGGTAGTATTCCTGTTAGGATGTTAACAATTATGTCTGCTACACAGGTTGGTAGAGAAAGTATTTGCTTTAGGAGTTTCTTCTGGAAGTTTTCAAGAAGTGTTAGTGAGCTTGTTGTTGGTAGTATTAGCTCTAATCCATATAGTAGTACTGGAGAGATATAAATTTTGTACAGGTGCACCATTGTCTCTACGTCAAGACCGTTGTGGCCATGGAATCCTCCCCCAAGCAGGCTATAAGCACTTCGTCTTGCTTTTTTAATATTTTCTTCCACATTTGCTATCATGTTGCCCTTGAGTGATGTAGTTCTAATGATTCCTAGATGTGTGGCTTTCTCAATTGATGGCATATAGTTTGGTCCCATTTTAAAGGTCTGGTTGTTAGACTCCTGTTTTCGCTGTTTATGGGAGATGTTCAGGACTACACTTTTTGTTGGTTGTAGTTCGTAGCCTTCCATATATGCATAGTCATAAGCCATATTAATGAGTATTTGTGCTTGATCAGGGTCTTGACTGATAAGCGCGATATCGTCTGCACATGCTGTACTATTTACACTAATATTTCCTATTTTATAGCCAGCTCCAGTTGTTTCGTACATATTAAGAAGTTGATTGATGTAGAGTTTATACATGTTAGTGCTGAGTATACCTCCTTGTCTGACTCCTTGGTTAACTTTAAATGGTTGAGAGATATTTCCTTCCCGTTTGACTACACTTTTTGCGTTTTCGTGCAGGTCTTAATCAGTCCCCAATGTCCATCATCAATTCCTGCCAAGAATACCCTTCGAAGCATGTGGCTATGTATTACTGTGTCAAACGCTGCTTTTGCATCTAGGAGTACAAGGTAGAGAGTTATATTGTTGTCTTTTGATTCTCTGTAGCTTTCTTCTATTGGTAAGGCTGAATTCAGTGGCGATGACCCTGCTGTAAAACCTCTTTGCTTTTTGTTTTGTGTTTCTAGGACACGGTCATTTGTACGTTCTTTGATGATAGTTTCGATAATCTTTCCTATGACTGGCAACACAGTAATCCCTCTGTAGTTGATAGCTTGCTGCCTTGTTCCCTTGTTTTTAAATACTGGTGTTAAAAGGCCCATCTTGAGTGTTTCTGATATGATCTCATGTTTGAATATGCATTGTACCAGCGGAACAAGAAGTTTCTCTGTATCAGATCCTGCGTGGATGATATGCTCTATTGTTATACCATGGTAGTCTGCCGATTTTCCTTTGTTTATAGAACGGATAGCTTTTGTTATCTCTTCAGATGTTACGTTTTTGATGTTATTTTGTTGTACAAGCTTGTTTATTGATTGAATATCGTGTTCAACTAAATTATGATAAAGGTTGTCTATACGTGTTTTCTCATTGAATGTTGCCAGACTGCTAAAATGTTCTTGAAATCCATTGATAATATTATCGTTCTCAACATATTTTTTCACTATTGACTTCTAGTTCCATTAATTTTATGTTATACTTGTTATAAAACCCTTTTCTCAACATTTCAACATTAAACCATCATGATAAGTAAAACAGGCTAGACATTTCAGCTTGGATTTTTTTTTTAGAAATTTTTAAACCTTCATCTTGCTAGAAAGAAAGAAAAAAACTGATAACCCATAAGTTCTAAACATATTGCATATAAACTGTTGGTAATTCGGAAAATACTTTTAAATAAAAGATTATTACCATGAACTGATAACTACCAATTATGTGTAAGGAACTAAAAGACAAATATAAGCTTATGCATCGTCAGTGTTTCTTACTATAGCCCGATGGTATTGACATTTCGACATATATCATTTGTTTTACATGAACATGATGTTCCTTTGATCCCTTCTAACGTTGTGAATATTTCCAAACTCGTTCGCTATGCCCGTGTATGTAGTGACGTTTCAGATTCTATATAAAACAAAAGGATGTGGTATGACTGCCATTGAGACAACTCTCCAACAAATACCAAATCACGTTAACAACTATAGGTCACCATACAGCCTTCAATTATGAGCATAACCCATACCACATAGTAAACTATAAAAGGCCCCGAAGTGACATATGTAAAACAACTCAAACGAGAACACTATAATTATGTACAAAACAAAAAAATCCATGTGTAGTTTTTATAATGTATACTTTTTATAGAAAAGCAGTAGTTGTCCTTTTCTAGATTTGGACATTTCAATCTCTAAAGGAAAACTCCATACTAAAATTAACGACAAAAGAGACGACTTTTCATTCCCTATTGTTAATTTTCCCTTTTTAGACGGCGATGTTCCTTTGGCTCCATCATACGGTGTTTATATATCCCAACTCGTTCGTTATGCCGGTGTGTAGTGATGCCATAGATTTTAACGAACGTAATCAATGCATCACTGGTAAATTATTAAGTCAGG